CTACATGACTGAGTGACAGGGTGTCATAAATTAAAACAGAAAACTCCAGAGTCCACTTTTGTTAGTTTTCAACACTTATACAGTTGTATAGGAAATAGGAGCTGGCCCGAGGCCCTTTCACTCTAGAACAGGCTTACAGTCGCTCTGCCATCTGCAGCATATATAGTTCCTGGCCAGAGTAGGGGAACAGCAAAAACCTCAAGGTTATATCCAATCAGAAGGAAAACACATGAACAGGTTCAGCATGGGAAGTCTGCCTCTTCTGCTGGACTAAATCTTGGTTAGTTAATTTTAACAAGAGGCAATGACTTCCATTACATTTTTGCTGCCTAATGGAGCAAATCTACCCCAAGGACAGTGTGTCTTAAGGGACAATGGTTTGGAAATGCTATCTTGCTCTGGAGCGGATGAAGCTATAATGCATATGGGTAAACTACAGTGTTCTTGTTAGTAGAGTAGGACACCATTCAAATCTTCACCTATTCAATATCATATCTTCCCTTTAATATGGCATCATGTCACAGCTTTGCCCTTCCAGCTATTTATTAACTGGCTCTGTTTTAGTCCCTTCATCCCAAAGCAATGGATGAATGGGAAATGCAACAGGAAACAGGCCTGCCTAGACAGCAACAAGTTAATGAGTTGAAACTCAAAAAAGAATCCCCAAAAAAGTGGAAACTTGGTCATATTACTAGGAACAATCATAAGAATAAATCACACAGATGTTCAGGGAGAAAATTAGGAAAGCCAAGGCATGATCTGAGATGTACCTGAAAAGAGAGACAGAAGGCAATAAAAATGGGATTCTACAAGTATGTCAAAAGTGAGAAAAAAAAAATCAAAGAAACCATAGGTCCTTTACAAAATACAGAAGGCAAATCTACTTATGGATGATGCAGAGAAGGCTGAAGCATATCATGCTTGTTTTACTTCAGGTCTTTACAAACAGGGTTAGCTACCAGATGATGAGCCTGGTTGACAACAAAGATAAGAAAGGAAACAAACCACCTAGAGTAGTAGAGGAACAGATTACGGATTACTAAGAGAAGCTAGATGCTTTCAAGTCCACAGAGCCAGATGAGATGCAACTTAGGATACTGTAAGAACTGGCTGAGGTAATTTCAGAGCCATTAGCTATCCTTTTTGAGAGCTTGTGGAGGTCGGGTGAGGTCCCATATAACTGGAAAAGGGCAAATATAGAGAACATCTTTAAGAAGGGGAAGGAGGAGGATCCAGGGAATTACAGACCAGTCAGCCTGACCTCGATACCTGGTAAGATTATGGAGCAGGTCCTCAAGGGATTTATGGTAAAGCATCTAGAAGCAAAAAATGGTGACCAGGAACAGCCAGAATGGAGATTCACCAAAAGCAAACCATGCCTGACCAACCTGCTTTCCTTCTATGATAAGGCAACAGGGTCTGTGGATTGGGAAGAGCAATACAGGTGATGTACCTTGATTTTAGCAAGGCTTTTGACACTTTCTCATGACATTCTCATTAACAAGCTAAGCAAGTACCACCTAAATGAAAGAGCATATGGCAGACACAAAACTTGTTGGCTCAACATATTCAACAAGGGGTCAACAACGGCTCAATGTCTAGTTCAGAGGAGACATCAAGTGCAGTTACCCAGGAGTCTGCCCCATGTCTGGTATCATTCAACATCTTCATTAACGATTTGGGCCATGGGAAGAAGTGCTTGCTTAGCAAACTTGCAGACGATGCCAAGTTGGGTGGAGTCGCAGATGCCCTGTAGGGTAAGACTAGGATCCAGAATGATCTGGAAAGACTGGAAAAATGGCCTGCCATCAACCAGATGAAATTTAAAAAGGACAAATGTAGAGTCCTGCATCTGGGACAGAATAACTGCATGCATGAATCCAGACTGGAGAATGACTGGTTAGGCTGCAGTACTACAGAGAAGGACCTGGTGGTTACAGTGGAAGCAAGGTGAATATAAATTAACAGTGTGCTCTTCAGGGGGCAAAAAAAAAAAAAAAAAAAAAAAAAAAGCCAAAGGCATACTGGCTGTATTAAAAGGAGTGTCACTTACAAATCAAGATAAATTATTCCTCCACTCTATTCAGCACTAGTGAGGCCTCACATGAAGTACTGTGTCCAGTTTTGGGCCCCAAACTTCACGAAAGATGTGGATAGATTGGAAAGAGTCCAACAGAGAGCCACAAAAATTGTTAGGGACTTAGGAAGCATAACTTATGTGGAAAGGCTGAAATAACTAGGGCTACTTAGTCTGGAGAAGAACAAACTGAGGGAGCAACTTGATAAGTCTTCAAATACCTGAAGAGTAATTACAGAGAGGATGGAGACAGACCACCTTTTCTCAGTGGACATACAGGATAGGACTAGAAGCAATGGCCTCAATCTGTAACACAGGAAATTTAGCCTGGAGGTCATGAGGAACTTCCTGACTATAAGGGTGGTCACAGGCATTGAAAACAGGCTACACTGAGGAGTTGGAAACTCTCCATACCTGGAAATTTTCAGGAGAAGTTTAGATATACACTTAGCTGGAATGATTTGGTCAGGGATGATCCTATCTTGAGCAGGGAGCTGAACTGGATGACTTGATGAGGTTCCTTCCAGCCCTGCTTTCCTATGATCTCAATTTTTTGGCTTTTACACATTATTACTGATCCCCAAAATGTGTAAGGAAGAGAGCACATGAGATACAGTGAGATTAAGTTCATTCAAATTAAACCTTCCCCAGGAAATTCAAATAACTCTTCAAATGAATAATGGCACTGTACCCTCTCAGTTTATAACACTGCTGAATTCTTGATGAGTCTAATAGTCAGGCAGATGCAAAACATTCAAATCCACACCACGTAGCATCACATGCAGGGCAGCCTGCATTAGAACGTGCTGAGGTTCTCACTCTCCTACACATTTGCTACCTACGTTTGAGGTTAACAGCCATGTTAAATGTGACTGGAGGTTACTGTGGACATGACAGCAAGATGCAGTTTGAAACCAAAAAAAAGAGGCGAGGGGGGGGTTCATTTATTCTTTTAAACTTACACATCTTGTACAGAAGAGGGAGAAAGGGGTTGGAGTCAGGTGTGGGAAGGGGAATGGTGTAACATTTATTAATCAAATTAAAAACTAAGCATGCTGACATCTGGAGCTAAAACAACCAGCAAAATCACCACGTTCAGACTCATATTGGCTAGTTCTATCTATCCCAGCATTCTCTTGGGACAGCAGTTCGCCCTAGGCTCTACCACAAGCTCGGTGAAGTACACAGCCTCAATTACTAGAGCGTGCAGCCACAACGACCTGCTATTACGGAAACAGTCAGTCACCACTGGAGTTAACATTCCAAACCTTAACAATCCCCACGTCCCCCCAAAAATAAATGTCTCCCACCCTAGCCCTCTCCCACACCACAATGTTAATAATTATAACAAGCAATAACCCATCTGTTATATCAGAGAAGGGAACAGAGACTCCACTGAGAGATTTAGAGCGAGATGTTAACATTTCTTCAGTCGACTGCACAACAAACAAAAACAGGAGAAATAATTCATTGGAGAAATGAAGTTAAGAAATAGCTGACATGTGTACTGCTTTTAACCATGCACTGAAGCTACTGCTGACTTAAAAAAAAAAAGTTAAAGATTATATGTATATACACACACACACACACACACGAGCAGACTTGCTTGAGCTAAACCAGTCTGCAAATTCTATTTGTGTGTATATCAATTTAAAAAAAAAAGGGAGGGGGGTGGAATTAGCATGGCTATAATACATTTTTGGCATAGAAGCAATGAGCATGGATAGCTTTAGGGATTCTAGCATCTCGATCTCTCAAGCGTGACTGAATCAGATCCCAAAATACAAAAGCAAGGAGGAAAAAAAAATGTTTCTTACTCCTTTTTTAATATTCTTTCATTGCTTTCAGTGAGTTTCAGGAAGGGAGAAAAAACCAGGGAGACACTGTGCAAGTTTTCTTACTCAGCAGTAACTCCCACTAATCCAAACCTGGGACCCACATGTAGTTTCATCAGTACCTCTGAAATCCCACACAGCTTGTCCAAGGCACCCGTGACATGGCCCTTCTGCTATTCTTGTCCACATTGAATTTTGCCTGAAGGAAGAAGCTAATCTGCTAACTCACTCAGTTTCTAATGCCACTCACACTTCAGGTACTGTACTTTATTTGAACTGTGTCACATTTTTGATGAAGCTGAGTGTTCATGTCACCTCATGAAAACAATAGACCCTGACTAGCTTCTCTATAGCCCTCCAGTGCTGCAGCTAGCTCCTAAGGGAACATGCCCTTCAATGGCACAGTCCCCAAATACCTAGGACAGTTGTGCAAACTTTCTCCATCTATTTAAATTAGATGATTTTACAGTGACAAGTTTCGCCATCAAGATGCAATTTTTAAAGAAAATCTCCAATTAGTGTCAAAACTAATGAAAGTCTCTAGGCTTCTTGTGAGTATGTTACGTCAGATCAGGTACCTTCCTACCAGCCAGGCAGCAACAAAACTTTGCCACAAGAAGAGGGGGGAGCAAGAAGGGTTGCACATATTTACCTGGCAAGCAGAAACAGCTCTGTAGAGCTTAGTCTTTTGGATTGGTTTGGGGAGGTATGAGAAAGATAAGTACAGTCCAGGCCACTGATTCTCAGCCAGGGTGCCATAGCACACTGGGGTGCCCTCAATGAGCCTCACCTCCAGTAGGGATATATAAAGAATCCTACAGGCTGCTTCTGTAGCTTATTCTTCAATCTGATTGAGTCTGCTTAAATGCATGGCAGAACAACTTTTTGGAAGGCCAGAGAATTACGATGTGCATAGTCCATGGCCAGCCACAGAAAGATATATCAAAACATCCTCTCTGTACTCTTTGCTTTTCCTGGAGTTGCTGGGAATTATTGGATAAACGATGCAAGTATGAAGCTGCTAACTGAACTGAAGCAGCATTTTGACTAGCTGCTGAATTTTCTAAAGGGGAATAATGAGTATTTTAAAGAGGGTCTACACAGCTCTTCAGCTCAAAACACAGGCACTCTTTCTTTCCTATAAAAAATCCATATGAGGTAATCAAAAACTAATCAGAATATGAAGACACCCAACTGCATCCTGCCTCCTCTGTCCTCTTTTGTTATTGTGTTATCCAAGCATATTAGCAGGTGCCCATCCCTGGAATGGCACAGGACACAATGAGATTAGCAGATAAATTGTGATGATGCAATTCTGTGCCTGCATTCCTCCCTCTATGTCACACGTGCCCTTCCAGACCCATGGAGAAAAGCACAGTCCATGTTGCTGTCTCTCTCTATTTACCAACCTAAATGACCAATAATCCAATATTTAAAAGGCTTGAAAAGAGACTGATGGGATCTCTTTGCCCTTCCCAAACTTCCCTACAATAGATGGTTACATGCAGAAGGTGCTGGAATTGATTTCTAGTACTTATGTCTTAAAAAGCTGGCAGATATGCACCATAGATGAGCACTGATGAATGGAGAGAGGTGACAGGACAGCAGTGTCCACAGCACTAGATGCATCTGTGTGGGTGATGGGACAAGCATGACCCTTAGCTCTTCCATCTAATTTTCCGAACAACATGCTGTTCAATACGAAATCTTATGTGGAGCCCTGATGTAGCAGGGGCATTGATTGCACGCTCACAAATCTGCACTGTCCTAAAAAAAGGAAAAAAAAGCCTCTGTTCCCATCTCTAATGTGGCGCTGAAATGGTTAGTATAATTCAGGTTTTTTTCCACTGCAATCCACAATCTGATTGGTTGGCAGGTCACACTGGCACTCCTACCTGAGGTATTTTAGCGCTAATGATTGGTTCCTGTAAGACTATTCTATAACAGAACACAGGAAGAGCAGTTCAAAAAAACACAGCTGTGGAAGGAAACAATCATACAAACAGCCCACAAAGGGGCTCACCAGCCTTTTCTTTCCAGTGGATGCAAGCACGCTTTTCACAGATAGGAATGGTCTTTGCAGATGCTTTGTTACCCCAGACTGACCCCTTTTGCAGGGCAGCCAGTACCTTTCCTAACAGCCAAAATGAAGCCCAACACCCTTAGCACCCTGGGGCAGATTTCTTTGCAAATTCAGGTATCTTGCCAGAGAGGAGAAAGTTCCACAAGAGATGGAACCCTGTTTTCATAGAAGAGATGCTGGCTAGCAGGAAGGTTGCCCCAGGAAAGAAAAGAGGAGGGAGAAAGAGGAGGAGGAGTAGAAGGAGGTGAAGCAGGAGGCAGATCAGTCAGTGCAAAGACAACTAGAGCTTGAGATGACTCTATTCCCCCCTACTCATCCCATCCTGCCAGCTGGAGATCTTTCTCCCCACCTGTACCTCCACCTCAGCCTCCCCGCCAACAGCTGAGCAGGTGTGAGCAATCTTAAACTTAACTCCCACTATACCAAGACTAATGAACCCTCTTCCCAGAGTAGCAGTCAGTGACTGAAGAACCTTCTTCCTTTGCCACAAAACCCCAGACAATGCTTTTATGGTGACCAAACACAAATGCAACAACACAGGACAATTCAGTGGGTTACAACCCAATGACTGGTTGGTTACTCATTCAATTTGTGCCAATTAGCAGAATGCATAGTAGGGTGCATTAGAAGTTAGGAGTGAGATTTAAACCTCCATTAACTACATCAAGAGTTCTGGTAATGAAAAATAAAGGTAAACCTTGGCCAACCTACCTTGACAGATGCCCTATATTTCCAGGTCCTGTTTTTATCCAATAAGGGGAGCTCAACCATTTATAGCAAAATGCCCAGTAAGCTGTTTTATCTATGAATTTTAGTCAAATTTAAGATCTCTCTGATACAGCAAGACAACATGGAGTGAATGAGCGGATTCTCTGTATTATTAAAGCTGGTATCCTTTACAACTGTTAAACTGAGTCCCTTCTAGGCATCAACGGAGGAAGTTAAAGGTCTGAAGGAACTTTCTAAGAAGTATAAGGGAATAAGTGTGGTCAACAGCTTCCTCTTAACAAGAGGGGCCTTAATGTGCTAGGCAGAGAGAGAAGTGACACCAAGCATGGACTAGCTGCCCGTTCTCCTGCTTAATCACTGTAATATCAAGGCCAAACTGACTGATCTAGAAAGAGTAATGCTTTAGGAATAAGGGTGGGGGGAAGAAGTCAAAACTCTTTCTTTTTTCTTTGAAGGACTTTTATAATGGAACACTTAATTAGGCAGGACTATTTTTAGGGGAGCATGTGTACAAGGCCATATAAGGAGGAAATGCATGTGCAAAAGTGTATGTCTATGTATGCGTGTATAAGCAGTGAGCACATGTACGAGCGAATATACTTTGATTCCCTGCAAGCGTATCTAGGACAGTAAGTACTGTTGCGTTTTGGCAGAACGCTGTCCAATTGCTGTGTCTAGCTGTACTTGGAAACATGTTTTTATAGGGCCTGAAGCTTCCATGCAGACCAGAGGCCCATAGGCTACCTTATCTCTTACTCAGCTCTGACCCTAGGGATAAATCTTGGGAAAGCATGTGCATCTATCTCCTCAGCAGTGCAGATACCAAGTCAGTTCTTCTCACAACCATACTATAAATAAGACAAAATGTTTGCAGCTCCAAGAGGCATCTCCCACAAAAAGGAACTTTGGAGCAACATAGTTCAAGGTTGGTGATGGTGGCAGTGAATTTTAAAGCTGTTTTTCTTCTTTTCCTTTTTTTTTTTGGAGAGAGAATCCTCCTATTCATCCCAAGAACCCTATTGGAGTTCTTCCCTTCTCAAGGCAAACTGCCCTCCTCACCAACCAATCCGAATCCCTTGATCCTGTGTTCCAGAAATAGCATCTACAATCAGTTCAAAGATATCAGTGATCTAGGAATTATGGATACAGATTGGCTGGTGAAGTCACAAGACAAGACAAAGCCTTTTGTAGCACACAAGAGATTTCAAAGACAGCAAAATGTTGTGGAGTCTTCTATCTAAACAACACCCTCACAAATTGTGCGTTATAACTCCCTTTGGGAGAAGGAAGAGAACCTTGTTCTATTTAGGTAACATTTGAAGTAGCAAAATGAGATCTTAACATTTAATCTAGTATCTCAGACTCCTTTTTTAATCAGCCCCAATGTCTTCCCCAAGAGGGGTGACATCTGTATCCCAATAGTATGTGAGACTTTGTAAACAGAGCTCAGTTAGCTTAGTGCCAGCTGCACCAATCAAGTGTGAAAGGGCCCCAAGAGGGGAGAGGAAGGGGTGGGAGGGGAAGAAGGAAAGGGAAGGTCTGAGGCTAAACCAGTCCTGTTATTTTTATATCCAAATTATGCAAATGAGAGAAGTGTTGAGAGAAATTTCAATTTGCTAATCATCTCTCAGGTTGATTAGTAGCAGTGCTCATGTGGGGAAAGGATACCCAGTAAAACTGACCCTGGCAATGATCAGGAAACCCAAAGGCTTAAGGTCTTGCACCCAGGGGCAAGCGCAGTGACAGAGAAGCATGCTTGCATTCTTAAATATATATATCCACAAGGAAGAAGAAAATTAAAAGTAAATGATATTTAAAAAAAAACAACCAAAAACAAACCAAGCCAAACCAAACAAACAAACAAACAAAAAAGGCTGGCTTGTCAAGGGTTGGGGATGAGAAGGCTCCGGTGTGTGTACTTACATAGAGGTCAGCACCGTAAAATCCGTCCTGGTAAACCACACTGCAGAAAATCCACACAAAAACAAAAGAACAAAAACAAAAACAAAAAAACAAAAGAACAGAAAACACATTCCGGTTATTGAGGACGGCAGCATGCACATGCGTTTTACACAGGCAGGTGATGTATGAATCCACAACCTGGGCTTTCGGCAGGAGCGAATCAGCGAGAGAATGTGTGTGCGCACGCACGCTAGACGGCTCCATGTCATTCTCCATGGCATGCAAGAGGGGAGGGGGCAGAGGGGGAGACAGTATGCAAAGGGTGGGGGAAACAACCTTCATATTGTACAATAAAAATAGACTCAGAAAGATCTGATACCCTGAAGAAGAGAAACAAGGGTTTAGAAACCTCCACTCTGGTTGTTATCCTGGAATTACTTTATTTAACACCCTAAAACACATGGAAAAAATTGGCCTCAGGAAACAGGTTTCATGTGCAATAAAAGAAGCCCTTCAGAAGGAGTCCCACAAGGGCTGGTATCCACCTAGGTCAGAAGCATATTTCAGAGAGTTCTGTAGAATTATGTATTTGAAGTCTCACAGGGCTGCATAACTTTGTTTCTGATATCCATACATCACCTGCTTTTACCCTGCACATTAGACATGCGATAAGAGTTGGCTGATCACACAAGCATGCAAAGTATTATTATTCAGCATCTTAAAGAACCGATGCAACACCTCAGGAAAACAAGTCAATCAATTCTGATCAAAGTAAACACAGAGAAATGTAATTAAAAAGAAAAAACCAAAAATACCCACAATGCATTGCTTTCACAAGCAGAGATAATGAGCTAAAAAGGTTAGCTGATTGGTCCAAGGTCCAAGAATTGAAAGGTGCAGTGGGGATCCCTGATAGTAACGACACATTCCACAGCAGAGAGGAGCATCTGGAACGGCTTGGATGGGGTGACGCTCTATTAGCCATTGTTTCTTTCTCTCAGAACTTCAAGCAGCAAAAAATGTAAAACCAGAGCCAGGGGACCCCAAGGAGCCAGTCTAATCAGAACATTAGGCCATGGAAGGCTCACTTTGGGGATGGGGAATTGGGAAAGGATGAGGAAGGAAGAGAGGGTATGACCCCACCCCTTGTTATCAACACATAACATATTACATAACTTTCTCCTGTTTTGTCCTCAGTACTAAGTCACCCAAGACTTTATAAAGCATTAGCTCCACCATCTGTGAGATACATGGGTGCAATGTGTACAACTTACCGGCAGCACTACCCACAGGCAAGGAGGAGGCATGGAACGTTAAGCTGTAATATTTTTCACATGTCAGATGGAGTATAAAAATACTGCCAAGATCCTGCCACCTTCATCAAAACACCCATCTATTGCAAGGTACAAAAAGAGAGGCCTGGATGTTTTGCCAAAAGCCTGAATACTATTACTGAAAATCCTGGAGCAGTGTTTGCTACCGGTAACATAATTTGGTCAGACTGCGTCCATCTCGATACAGGTGGAATCTATTCCCTGTGGACAGAGTTGCATTCGTGCCTAAAATGCATTTGATAGGAATGCGAAGATATGATTCCTTGTAACAGGAAGAGATGAGTCACTTCAGCAGGGAGAAGTGGGCCATATGGTGTTTGCAGGAACTAAATTCTCCAAAACAAGAGCTTGGTTTCTTGGCCTGTGCCTTACACGGTTGGATTCTCTTATTATGGTCAGAAGTGTTTTTCAGCAAGGTTCCCCACCCCTGCAGGAAAGGCAAAAGCTCAACAGTGGAAATGACTGTTGGTTATGAACATGTTGTGATTTCTGGTAAAATTGTTCTGGAAGTGATAAATGGAATTAAAAGGAATTTCTCCCCCTCTCCCCTGGATCAGACCAACAGTGTGCCTCTAATTTAAGATCCTGTCACTGACCATCACTAGCATTGCACCTTCACACAAAAGTGAAAAGAACCCTACAATCAGCAGCTGCAGAGTAACCTGTAACTAGCCAGTGTTCTCCTCCTACCTTCAAATTGTTTGAGATTGACTTAAGTATTGAAGCCTGAATGTTTTAATCCCCTTTAAAAAGTTTTTAATATTTTCCAGTCACTGAGGCCAAAAGCCTAGCAAGATTCAGAGGGGTTGGACATTTATTTACATGTATAATAAAAATATCTACATTTATAATTTATGCTAGCAAATTTTAGAAGAACTATTCACTTTGTTTTAAGGGCAGCAGGACCCTTCTCATGATATAATCTAACCTCCTGCATAACACAGGCTACAGAAACTGACCGAGTGGTTTCTGAATCAAGTCCATCACTTCTGGTTAAGCTACAACATCTCTTTTTAAAAGTGTATACACCTTAATTTAAAGACTACAGGTGATGGCGAATCCACCACATACCTACCTAAACTGTTCTAATAGTTAAAGTAATACTACCTTTCTGCTCAATATTCCCTTGATTTTATATCAAAAGAATGGATTTGCTCTCCTGGCCATCATATTAAATATGAGCTCATGTTCAGTTGGTTAGCAAACCTCAGGTGCACAAGCCCTATTCTGAGCCATTCCTTTCCAAGATACTGCTCAAGCCCTCATCCTACCTTTTCTGGAAGTTTGTTTTGGTTACTTATTGGATAAGCTTGCATTTACCTGGATTAAGACCACTGGTTTTCACAAATGTTTTATTAAACCTCATGCTTCAGCAGGTCTTTAGACAAATTTCTTGAGATTATGAGATTTTTGCATCTTCCTCTGAATTAGCTACTGACAGATACTACCAGGCAGAATATTGTATTGAATGGACTTCTTTTCTCATCTAGTATGGTAGTTCCTATGTTTATATAGATGACAAGAACATAGAAGTGTCCATTACTTTTTTTTAATCCTGCTG